TAAAAATTAATTAATAATATATTTATAAAAAATATATAAAAATAAATATATATATTTTTTATTATATATTAATTTTCATGAATCTCCACAAGTGGAGAAAATTTTTCATAAAATTTTATAAAAAAAAATCTCCATTCCCATCCTATAATAAAGAATAGTTTTAAAATCTCTGTCCCCATAACAAGAGTCTCGGTGAAATTTAGTCAGTATAGAAAATTATCATCCGTATTGGTATCCATAGACATTACTTTTTATTTTTAGATATACTTACGTTACATTACTGAAAACTTTGTTGCTTTCTAGGCTGTAATCTCAAATATCCATTTCAGAAAAATTCAGAAAATCTCTAAGAACAGAATGGTCTGTATCTGTCTCTCTTTTTTTAATTTGTACTTTTTTATGAAAACAGGCCACGTGTGTACGATCTGATGTTTCTATAATATTAGTTTTGTAATATCAACGAGTACCATCTTTTGTGTCTATATATTAGCTTGTAATATTAACAAGTACTTTCGTAACATATATATATTTATATCAACAAGTACTATTTCACCAACCACTTGTCTCAGCTTTTTTTTGTCTTATTTTTTTATTCCTACACCTTTTATACATATAGCAGCTGTCCAATTCAAGCATTTTTGTTTTGTTTTGACTTGTGTTTTTTCTTAACTGGCAAAAAAAGCTGAAAGTTGGGTTCTATCATTGATCTTTGGAACATATATAATCACAAGAGAGTGGTATTTTTTTTTTTAGACAGAAGAAGTATTTTTTTTCAAAAAAAGAAGTATCCAAAGAATATAATATAAATTATTAAATAAGATAAATCTCATGACAGGTAAGGTTGATTCTCTTAATTTAAAATTTTTTATTTATAATCAAAGTTAAAAATTCAAAATTTAAAATTTAAATTTTTATTGTATTATTAAGTAACTAACTTCTCTAATATATAAAGAGAAAAAAAAAAAAACCTATTCATTCCCAAGGGATGAACATATATAAGGGAAATAGACAAAGAGGGAGGTTTGGAAGATGAAATCTCTCATTTTCTATTTTTCTTTTTCCTTTTTCTTTTTTACTAATTGGCAATTTTTTTACTTTCTTGCTGTGGAAATGAATTTGTTTTGTGTTAAAAACTGTGGCTGTACCTTCAATAACATAAAAATGTAAGAGAAAGGATTGGAGAGAGGGAGAGGAAAAAGGATGAAAGAAATCATTCTCTCTTTATTTCTGCAGAGAAACAAGCATTCTTTTTGAGGACACCACAACAAGAACAAATGAACAACAGAAAAAACCCAAATGGGAATGGGCCATTAAGTACTTCATCATCCAAC